CCCGATGCTCACAACTTCAAGGAGGCGGGGCTTAACTTAGCTTAACTTAGCTGAGTCTTTTCAGCTCAGAGTTTGGGGGTTTCAGTCCATGTGAGTTAGTTCCAAGGCAGGAACATCACGGCAGAAGGGCATGGCAGAGCAAAGCTGCTTCCTTCATGGTGGCTGGGGGATCAGGACCAGAGAGGAACGGGTGAGGGGCCATGTGTAGTACCCAAGGCTCTGCCTCCCTGCCCTGCCCCGACACACCCAGGAGTGAGCTCTACTGATCTGCCAGGTACATCTTAATCCGATGATGTTGATATAACAGGATTAATGGCTAATTCACAGTGTGGTTTGTACTGAATGTGTAGGGCAGAGCTGACCAATAGAACTTTTGGTGGTGATGGAATGTTCTAGATCTCTGCTGTCCAAAATGGTGGCCAATAGCCCCATGTGGCTGTTGAGGACTTGAAGTGCAGTAAGACCAAGAAGTGAAATTTTAATTTTATTTACATGTAATGTGCTTAAATAGCCACACAAAGCTAAGATGTCAGGAGTGCAGCTCCTGAGCTCCTGAGAGCGTCGGGCGTCAGCTGAGAACTGGCACGCACCATTGGCTTCACTCTTCCTAGGCTTCTTCTCTGCCCTTGCAGGTTTCTCCTGGGAGCTCCTGCTTTATAATTCACTCTGCCTCAGTCCTAGTCCTTTCCCAGCTGTGGGAGCCGGGCTCAGCAAGCATAGCCTTCCCTCCAGGGCTCGCTGAGGCTCTGACGTCCCCCTGCTGAACCTGGAGACATGACGGAAGAGCTGAGAAAGCGGCCACCCCTGAGGAGCCATTACCTCTTCCTGCCGCCCAGGACTCTGCATCCTTGTGGAAATCTGACTTCACTTTCATCTACGTCTTCTCTGGGTCACTGCTTGGGTTTGGCAGCCTCCTTTCGGACTGCTGTTATGCTAAACCCAAGGTAAAAACATCTTCCCACATCACATCCATGACTCTTCCCAGCTACAATGGCTGCCAGCGCTCCCCGTGTTCAGCTCTCCAAGGTAGGACAGGGCAGAATAAAGTCCTCCCCAGGCCGCGTGCCTGTGTCACCCTCCACGGGCACCAGAGCACAGGCGTCTGAGTCACACAGCCCAGAACTGCAGGGCGCATTCACTGGGGAAAAATTTCTCAACTCTTCTGAGCCCTGGGTCCTGATACGTGAGAGTCGCATGCAGACGCAGGTCTTGCAGAAGGGGTTGGGGCACTGCAGGACGCAACTTGTGTGTCCTCGGCCACCGGTCACTGCCCAGGCCGTGCCTGCTGCTCCGGCGGGCACACAGTGCTGTGTGAAGCAGGTCCTCTGGGCCACCTCCCCCTCTCCAAGCAAAGCCCAGGCCCCTCTCTGCAGCTCCCACTCCTCCCTCTGGAGACTTCTCCCTGGGCTCAATCTAAGCACTGCTTCCACTGTGAGGAGCAGCCTCCCTCCAGGGCAGGCAGCTTTTATTGTCCTCGCCCCAAAGGGCCCTTGTGGAACTCTGCACCGTGCCCGTCTCTGCGGCTTCAGGTGGGCATGGCCTGGTGACAACAGGTCCACACACTTGAGCTTTACCCCTTTCCCCCATTATAACTCCTGGCACATACTCAATGAATTACACGAGTAAATGTTAAGGAACGAATGGATGGATGGATGGACGGACGGACAGATGGATGGATGGATGGAAAATCAAGCTCTATTAGTCCAAATGCTCAGAAACTACAAGATAAACCAATGTACTAGGGTTAATTTTACTTTCAAGTTGCCTGAGAAATATCCTAGAAATTACTGCTTTTTTGTTTTTCTTTTAAGACAAGGTCTCACTATGTAGCCCAGGCTGGCCTTGAACCTGTAGTGATCCTGTTACCGTTGAGTGGGCCAGAAATAGCACAGGCTTTTGTGTAGTCAAGGGAAGAACTGCAGGTAGCTGCGTTTGTTGAGGATGGCGGGGGCAGCAGAAACAGGGGGAGGGCAAAGGGAACAGGAGTGAAGGGAAAAGGGACGCGAGGACGGAGGGGAAGGACAGGGCTCACTCCCTCAGGCTCCGGCTGTCTCGTGGGTCCCAGGCCAGTGGGCCAAGGCACCGCCCCTGTGAGCTCAGCAGTCTGCAGCTCACTCAGCCCCAGCCTGAATGCGCATTAGGGTGGTGTTGGGTTTTGGTGGAAGGGAGGAGGGAAGGGAAGGG